TGAGTGCAAAGTCGTGAGACTACCTTAAAGATTACTCCAAAGAGAGGCGAGAAGAGTGCAATGAGGAGTTTTCCACTTTCAGTTTGTTTGTTGTACATTGGATAAATAAGCGTTGCTACTAAGACGGCAAGAAAGAGAACGGAGCAGTAAGGTGTCGTCAATTTTATAAATAAAGTCGCTCTCCTCGACAGGTTCCGGAAGTGATTTGTTAGAAGATAAACTTTCCAACATATGCTAATTAGAAACATAACGGAGAGAGGAATCTTCTGAGTCACAGAAAGCTTGGAATGAGATATTCCACAGACTTGAAGGACAACACGATACACTGTATCCACACAGAACAAGACAAAATCAACAAGAATAAGTTTTCTTTTCACGCCCTTTAACTGATACGGTCGAAAAAGAAATAGCATTCCTACAAAGAACCACATGTAAAGAAAGGCAACACTTATCACGTCAGACAATGTTCTGATCCACTGTATTTTAACTGGGATTGTCTCATTCGGGTGAAATTGGCAGTTAAGTACTATTTCATAAGAGACGTAACAGATCATGACGTAAAAAAGGCCAAAGATGGCTGGAGTTAAAAGTGAAATTAATGCGCCGATGTACATTGATTGACATACTGTGCGAAGAATGGATGGTCTGAATTGCTTCCAAGCCATTTCATTATATTCATCTTGCTGTTCGTCTTCATCTTCGTCAGGTGAGCTCGCGTCAATGACCCGATATCTAACTCGAGAATTACCAACTGACAAGAGATAATTATCGTCGTCCGATGGCGGTGAATATTCCTGATAAATAGGTTTATCAACGGGCTGACAATTCCACTCTCGACCCTCACTGCTTAAGCTATCGTTATATCCAAAGATCTCCACTTCGGGCTCATCAGGGTCGTAATGCTCTGTCACGCCGCGTGTGAAGCTGAATAAAACACGGGCAAAAAATTCAATCACCAAACTGTTGGTCATTGTCCGCGTTACAGAGTCTTCGAGTGCACACTTGAGGTCTTCGATACCGAATGAACATGTTTCGAATAAGCTGCAGGTTTTTTACCATGATGTTTCGAAAGTAAAAGTGCTAACAAAGCAGAAACAATACTCCGGCCATCTGAATGTTAGCGAAAA